CCGCGAGCCGCGGCCTTGGGGGGCTGCAGAGTTCGATGAAGATTGGGCCGAGTCCCCGGGGGGCTCCGCCTGCTGAGTCCGACTGTGTTCGCCATCATCCTTGAGGCTTCGGCTTTTTGTTTTCATTATCACTTCCTTTTTCGACTTCGTGATTCTCATATCATGTTCGTGGTGCTGTTGTTCATCATATTGCATTGGTCAGTGGTCTCTCTTCTTTTGTCCTGTGCTTCTTGGCATGAGTTGGGGATGCCCGGAGGCCACCTCTTATATTGGCTATTGGTCTCCCTGCTCGGTTTACAGGTCGATGCACGCGCGGTGGTGTGCGGTGTGCTATCTTGGCCCGACAATATCTTTGGTATTTTGCCTGATTGGAAACCGGGGGCGCTGGCGCTGGGCAGGTTTACGAATATCCTGATGTGGGACTCGCGTGGTGGTTGTGCTGATTCTTCTGATGAGCTCGAGCTTATATTGCAGAGTGTGGCGTTGTCCTTTTCTTCTGCTGAAGTCATTCCTGGAGTTCGGCGTTGCTCGGCTCCTGAGGCTCCGGTCCCGCTCTTCTCTTGTCGCTTTGCCTCTTGTCGTCTTGTCTCGTCGCTTTGTCGCCTCCCTTCTCGTTTCCTGTCCTCCCGCTTTGTCGTTTCTGCGCTTTGGGGTTGTCGTTGCGTCCCCCTCGGCCTCGTCTTCCTCCTCCTCTCCCTCGTTCCCTCGTCGCCCGCCAAAAAAACGAAATCCGTCGTGGCGCTCGGCGGGTGGAAAAATATGTGTGTATATATAGTTAACCGTTTACTTATGCAATAGCTTAGTCAATTGTGTATATACACGTAGCATGCATATATATATATATATATATATATATATAGCCATGACGTGGGCCCCAGGAGATCTGGATCTTTCCCCCGATGACTGGCTTTTCTCGGGGAGCAGGTAGTGTTAAGGTGAGCGCGTCCCTCTAGAGGAGGAGGAGTATTCAACAAGAGTCAAGCAATAACATGGGGACGACATTGCGAGTATTTGTTGTCAGTTTTTGAATTATTTTGTGGGTATTTTCATTTTTCTTCCAACATCTGCCTGTAGGGGCACACGCCCGACCTAAAGGCAGTGACACAAGCATGAACTTTCGGAGGGCCGCGCGGATTTCTCGGGTCGGCGCTGGAGCCCCTGCGCCGGGGAGGGGGGTCGGTGCAGATTGAAGAGAAGTCCGCGCGGAGCTCCGAAAGGGTACGTTCAGTTCTCCCTCGAAGAGATCGCTAAATCAGGTCGGACAGTGTTGGAAGGTGGAGAGTCCGGGTTCGGGTTGACCCCAAAGAGGGTCTAGCGACAAGGGGGTGGGTGCAATAGATTTGGTGCGATAGGTTTGTGGGGTTGCAATACAATTGGGGCGTGCAATACATTCCGGGGCGCGGATGTATTGCTGGACTTTCGCGTGCCATGCATTATTTGCAATACAATGCGATACACTTCTCCGGCGCAGCACATTTGCAACACAATTGCCCGAAATTGCACCACCCTCTTTCAGCTGGACCCCTCTTGGGTCACCCAAAAGCGTTCCCTCCGGGGGCGTTCTTTGCAGCCCACGGGGCCCCGGCAGCGGCCCCAGGAGGCCGCGCAGCCGACAAAAATCGCGGGGCGAAGGGCGCAGCCACATGCAGTTGTGAATCACGCAGGGTATGGCTGTGTCCTCGTAGGTAGCGCGCCGCGGGAAGGATGGGGTACGTCAGTATCGTTTAACCGATCCCTATCCCCATCCCCATCCACATCTAGAGCCCCACCGTCTCACCACCTCAGTTGGGGATATGCCCCTCGAAACCCGAAGGGAGCAGCCTACATTCCCACCAGGGGGGCAAATCGGCCAGTGGGGCCCAGCCCACGCTGGTGGGGATGGGGATGGGTAAACTATGCTCAGCGCCGCGGGAAGGATGGGGTATGGGACATGCGGATGGGGTCTACGAAACGTGAGATGGGGTGTGCCGAAATGGGTCGGGGAAGACGCATGCAGATGTCGCGATTTGGGACATTCGGTGGAGCTCCCTAGAAGGCCACGACCTGTGTCAGAGGTGCGCCGTAGTGGACGGGGGGAGGCGCGTGCAAACGGTTCCACCGGGGCCTTAGGCGGGGCTCCCTATGGAGCCACGAAACATGTGAGAGGGCGCAGTCATTGGCGGGGAGACGCGTGTGAAGGTCGCCACTAGGGCCTTCGGCGGAGCTCCCTCTGGGGCCATGAAGCGTGTGAAGGGTGTGCCGTAATGGGCGGGGAACTGCATACGAGCTCAGAGGGTGAGCACGAAACGTGTACGGGATGTGCCGACATGAGCAGGGAACCGCATGCGTAGGGCCTTCGTGGAGCTCCCCATGTGGCCACGAAGCGTGTGAGGAGTGTGCCAAAATGGGCGGCGAGCCGCATGCGAACGCAGCCGCTGGAGCCTTCGGTTGAGCTCCCTGTGGGGCCACGAAACCTGTGAGGGGTGCCGAAATGGGCGGGGAACAGCAGGCGAGCTCAGAGGGTGGGGCCTTCGGTTGAGTTCCCTGTTGGGTGGGCCACGAAACGCGTGAAGGGTGTGCCGAAATGGGCGGGGAACCGCATGCGAACGCGGCCACTGGGGCCTTCGGTGAAGCCCCCTATGGGGCCACGAAACGTGTGAGGGGTGTGCCGAAATGGGCGGGGAACCGCAAGCGGACGCAGCCATTGGGGCCTTCGGTGGATTTGTGACAAAATGGTCGTGCGGAGGGTGGATGCAGGGATGGGGGGGAGGGACGAGGAGGGAGGTGAGGTGAGGGATCTGGGGCGCTGACTCTTCAAAGCGAGGACCCGACACCACAGGGCGGTTGGGAAAAGTAGGAGTTCCCCGCAATTTCTCCACGGCGCTCCCAGGGTTCATGGTCTCCCGAGACATCTGTCGGGGAACATACAATGACATGAACACAAAATCTCTGAGGTTCGTGCAAACAATAACATAAACACAAACACTCAGAGGTCCGTGCGGATTTCTCTGATCCGAGCTGACCCCCCTCCCTGGCGCGCGGAGCGCGTCAGGGGCGGTGCCGGAGGCGCCGCCAGGGGGCCCCAGCGCCTATCAGAGGAATCCGCGCGGGCCTCCGAGTTTTTATGGTTATGCCATGGTTCTTGTCCCGAATCCGACGATTAGATTTATTTTTTTTCCCAGCCGCGGCCCAAGAGATGTCCTGATGCTTTTCCTGGGGCCTGTTTTCCGCCCCGGATCCTCTGATGGCCGCGGGGCCCGGCACGACATCCGGGCCCTGGAGGCCGAAGTCAGGAAGACGTGCGGCGATGGAGCCAATCACATCGTCTGAGATTTGGGTCCTCTCCTACAGGCCTCCCAGCCGGGGTCCGAGTAGATGGGGTTTGCGAAGCCTTCCCGGAAGACACAGAAAACCTGTCAAAAGGCTAGAGGAGACCTTCTGAGAAGCCACGCCGCCTTCTGAGAAGGCCTTCTCCTTCTCATTTCTCCTCCTCGTTCTCCGCCGGTTCTAGGCCTTTCAGATGGGGTCCGAGTAGATGGGGTTGAAAGATCGCTCCGCATCGACGATGCATCGGCGATGCTGCTCGATGTGGATCCGATTTTCTCCACGTCGACGTCGCCGATGCATCGCCGGTGTATCGCCGATGCATCAGGGATGCATCGACGATGCGGCGCGATCCTCCGACTCCACCACCGCTTCTGTGTCACAGGAGGACATTATCGCCAAAACCATGATCAGAGTCCCGGACTCTATCTTACAGGGACGATCTATGAGGGTCCCAGGGCCCAAAACCAGGGGAAACGCCCGTGGCGAAAAAAGTGCAACGCCAGGACCCCAGGGCAAACCGGATGGTCGGAGATTTGGGGGGCCTCCCCTGATGCCACTAGCGCTTCTGTGACTTCCCGGGCTCGGCGCCCGCGCCCGCGCCGATGGGGGCCCGATAGCCAACCCCGCCCAGGAACGTGCGGTTTCGCCGTCGGGGGCCTATCGCCGATCCATCGGCGGTGTATCGCCGATTCCAGGTCGATGTTCCCCCCCCCCCCTGTGCCAGCCCCCCCCGAATGTTCCTCTCACAGAGTCTCCGTTATCCTCTGGGAAGTTTGTTATGCTCCCAAGGTTGTGTCTTCTTGTTGCCACTTCGCCGAACTCGTCGCACTTGCCGTGCATCCCCGCCCACGGCTTGCCTGTTGTGTCCAGCCCTGCGGGCTAGCCTCTCATTCGCCGCAGCAATCCGATGCGATTCCGGTGCCCAGTGAGGCATTGCCCTAGTTAAGATTTGCGAGCTTGAGCCTTGCAGCGAGTGAAGGAAAGAAACGACAAAAAGGGTTGGAGACGCCCCTCCAAAGCCCTGCCTGAGGTCAGAGCGTCCGCAGTGATGCGCTCGCGACGCCTGGATATCTAGGCTCTTGCCAGTCTGACACAGCGCTCGTCCTGCTTCTGCGGCTTCAGACTGCAGTCGATGCTAAGCTTAAGTCGGGCATGTCCCTCGACAGGAGGAATATCAAAAAATAGCCAAAAATAGTAGGAGGACACGCCTGACCTAATTCTACGGCTTGAGACTGCAGTCGATATTGAGCCACATCAAGGTAAGCACCCACACACGAGCGACGCAACAAAACGGGGTCGACTGCGCGTAAGCTCCCCGCAGAAGGTCGCGCGCGAGCGCCCTCGCTTCCGATGCAGCGTGCCGCGCCGGCGGCCCGCGTGAGCCGCGGCGCAAGGTCGCTGCGTCATCTCGCGCAGGACGCGTTTTCGATCGTCGCCCAGGTGGTCCACCAGCACCCCGTGCCGCCCCCCCCCTTCCCAGACCCCCGACGTCATGTTTTTTTCACAACGTCGACCCCCAGAGGTCTCAACCCCTTCCCAGGGACCGGTTTTGAATCCTGAGTCGTTTCTTGACGGCCCTGAGGGCCAGCAAGGGCCCCCCGAGGCCGACAACTGCGCAATCCCTCCCGCCATGATGCTTTCCTTGCCCTATAGGGGGGCCAGGCTTCTGCGACCTCCCGGGCCCGCTGCAACGACTGCGGATGCCGAGGGCGGGGAGGTGCGCGGCGGGCGCAAGTTGGCGGGCGACGATCAGAGGAGGGGAGGCGTGTTGCCAGATGATCTCCAGATGTCCAGAACACGTCTTAAACATGTCCTCAACATGTAAGACACCTGTTTTAAACACTTTCAGAGCATCTTTCCGACATTTTGAACACAATTTACATTCAGTGTTCGAATTGCTAGGGTGTCCACTGTCATGGCATCCCCAAGCGAAGGTCGTCTTCGCCAGTTAGGGTGTCATTGCCATGGGTTTTTTGGCTGTCTTCCGTTTCCGGGAGGGGTGGGGCACGACTTGTCCGCCCTCCGCTGTGCAGAGACCCAGCAATGGGAATCAGCAAGCTTTCTGTCTTCCGTCTCGGGTGTTTTTTTGGTCCTGGAGGAGACGGGTCCTGAGGGTTTTCGCCGTGCTCGGGCTCTCTCCCCCGGCTCTGGGTTCGTCCTGCTCCCGGGTATCGTTCCCTCCTCTGGCCCCTGCTGCCGCTGCTCTTCCGGGTCGTCCACCTTGTGGACCTCTTGGCGGGGTCGGGCATGACCGAGCATATTCATACATAATCCCATTTGGAGTTGGAGCGCGATTGTACATACACTCGCTCTGCAACCGATGTGCCGTCCAGGCTCGGTTCCTGTCTGTCTGTCTGTCGGCTTTGAGGCACTTCATCGTAGATGCCCCGCGGCGTATCCAGGCCAATTGCGGGTCGTTGCTTTGCGAGTGGTGGAACGCGCTCGCCTGCTGAGGGCCTTCGCCGCGCTCGGGCTCCCTCGGGGCCCTCCAGGGGCCCCCGAGGACCGCCCGGGAGAACTGCTTCTGGAGGAGGAGCTCGGCTCTGGAGGGAGGGCCCCCCCCCCGGGGTCCAGGGCCCGCCTGCCGCAGGAGCTCGCTCCGCCCCCACGGTCCGGGGTGGATGACCCCGTGGGAGCTCCAGTACACTGGGGGGGGCGCGCGTCAAGAAACCAGTTGCTGTTCGTCTTGGTACCCCTGGGTTTCTTCGCTCCTCGCGCTGCGCGGTGACCTCCCGCAGCCGTTGAAGGAGCTGCTGCGTTCAGGGTGCTCCAGGTGTCCCCTCAGGTGCACCTCGCGCACGGGTTCTCAGGGTTGGGTTTCTTGCGAGGGTTTCTTGCGGCCGCGCCCGCACTGTAAGAAGTCGGGCAAGTCCCTCGACAGGAGGAAAATTCAGGAAAAGTCAACAAAATAGTCTGGGGACGATTTTGGGACCGTGTTTGAATATTTTTGAGCATTTTGGGGGTATCTGGTATTTTTCGTCCAAGACCCGCCTGTAGGAGGACATGCCCGACCTTCTAGTATTCGGGGGTGGACAGAACCCCCACCCTGACACGTCGATCAGTGAATTGTCAGTGGTCGCTTCTCGAGAGGGCGGCCGCGGCCGTCATTTTCCAGGCTTGCGCCCTCCAGGTTTGGGCCCGAGGTCGTTTTCACTGAGCCACGTTTTCCGAAAGGGGGTCCTGTCCATCCCCGAGGCAAGCCTTCGGAGGTCCGCGCGGATTTCTGGGATCGGCACTGGGCCCCCCCTCCCCGGCGCGCGGGGGCGTCCCAGCGCCGATGCGACAAATCCGCGCGGAGGTCCGACAGTTTATGTGCATCCAGTTGTGTCTTTCTCTAAAAGGGCGGGGGGGCTCGCGTCGAGCGAAAGTCAGGAGCGGAAAAAGGGCATGCGCGTACATGAATCCACCTGCACGTCTCGAACGTACGCATCTGTGCGAACGCTCGTATCACGAGGCTGGTCTCGCGGACTGGGGGGGCGTGTTCATGTACGTGGTTCGGCGCGTACGCGCACGTCCCTTTTGTGGGCTCCCTAGAAGGGCGGGGGTGGATAGATTGTAAAACATCTGGCACGAGTCGAGGGGCAGCAGACGCCGTTGAGCCCGCAGCGAGGTTCTCGGGTGTCTTTCGCAGGTCCTGGGCGGCTCTCCAGCCTCGGGGTGCCTTCCAACGGCTGCGCCTCGCCGAGCGCTTTTTCAAGGGTTGCCCGCATCGCCCCGAACGGCCGCCGGAGAGCCGAGCTATGGCCCGAAAGCCAGAGGGCAACGTTAGGTGGGTTGGGCTCGGGGGGGATGCATCGACCCCCAACTGTCCGTCGATCGCCGATATGGGCCAGATAGCCCACCCCGCCCAGGAACGTGCGGCTTCGCTATCGGCGGCCCATCGCCGATCCATCTGCGGTGCATCGCGGATTCCAGCTCGATGTTTCCACCCCTGAGTCGGTCCCCTGGTATCGTTGCCCCTTAAAAGTCGGGGGGGGGAAGCCGAGTGAGTGATACCAGGCCGCCCAGATGCGGTCCGAGTAGGTGGGGTCGGAGGATCGCGCCGCATCGGCGATGCGGGTCGATGAGACCCATTTCTTCCACGCCGACGGCGCTGATGCGTCGGTGACGTCGCCAATGTATCGCCGATACATCGATGAGAGGTTCAAGGTTCCTCCACCGTCTCTCGTCGTGAAAAAGTAACGGTCCTGGGGCCCTCACTGGGCCCCGGGACCGTCAAGACAGGGCCAGGGACGAAAAACGGGTCCCTGGGGCCGAGGCTGTGACATAACCACACGACGTCGGAGATGTGGGAAAGTCGGGAGGGGAGATTGGGAGCCCCTCAGCGTGTTATTCTTTATTTTTTTTTTCTCCAGCAGTAACGCGCTGATGGGTTCCCCACGGCGGCCTATCATTGATGCTGTTCGTGCCCGTGGGTCCTCGGCGGCTCTGCAGCCTTTGGGTACCTTCCGGCGGCTGCGCCTCGCCGAGAGCGTTCCCGACTGGCCGCCGGAGACCCAAGCCGTGGCCCGAAAGTCAGAGGCTCGGGTCCGACAACCTCCTCCTCCTCCGAAGGGGGGGGGGACGGGGACGGGGGCGTTTACGACATCTGCTGCATGCGGCCGGCTTCGTCCACGTCGCCGTGCGCCTCTCCTTGATGTATTGGCGCCTCCTGGTGCTCGGAGGCGCCGGGAAGACCAGCGACGTACTTGCTACCACTCGTCGTCCCGCCCGAGAGGTGCTGTTCCCTCACGGGGAGGGCTACGCGGCGGCCCTCAACGGCAGCAAGGAGCGGGCGGCAAGCAGACATCCGACGTCTTGAGAGAAAATCAAGGGGTTCGTCGTTTTCGGCCTCTGGGGGGGACTCGGGACAGTATTGAAAATCAAGACATCAAGACAAATCGGTGTCCCTCAGCCAGGTCACGAAGATGACCTCGCTTCGCGAATCGCGGCTGGGGCCGCTGCGCTGGCCTTCTGCAGGGCGCGGCGCGAGGGCGCAAAGATAACCACGTGTCGCGGATCGCGGGGGGCGATGCGTGAAGTCGAGTGACTTAGCCTGGGTTTGGTCGGGGATCCCCCTCGAGCGAAGGCCCTGGCCAAGCCTAGATCGGGCCCTCCTTTTGCTCAGAGGGAGGGAGATCTGCGGAGGGCCGGGGGCCCAGACATGTCGTGGCTTGTTTTTCTCAATACGGGGTTCCCTGACCCTTTTCCCGGGTCCGGTTTTTCATCGCGAGTCGTTGTTTGATTGGGGCCTGGTGAGGACCCGCAGAGGTCGAATGCGGCCAAAAACCGCCCGTCAACCGCCCGCCGCATGTAGATGTATATACATATATATGTGTAGGTATTAATTTCCCATGTCCAAAGGATAGGGTTCTTGTTGTTACTCCGATTGCGCCGAGGCTCACACCTTCTCCCGCCTCCCTCCTCATGTTATGTCGTGTTATGCTATGTTATGTTATGCTACGCAATGATATGGCATGTTTTGTTATGCCATGCTATGCTATGCTATGTTATGCTGTGGCCTGATGTGATAGGACATGCTATGTTCCGTTTAAGTCGGGCCTGTCCTTCTACAGAAGGAAGCTCAAACTTGTCAAACAATAGTATTGGGACGATTGCTTGACTACTTTTCACCATTTGGGATTATGTTTTGAGTATCTTTTACTTTGTCGTCCAAAATCCCCCTGTAGGAGGACACGCCCGACCTAATTTTACGTTATGGTGTGTTGTGCTATATTCTGTTATGGTTATGCTATGTTTTGTTATGTTATGGTTTGCTATGCTATGACATGATGATGGTGATGCTGATTGTGATGCTGATGATGATGCTGATGATGGTTGTGGTGATGCTGATGGTGCTGATGATGGTGGTGATGATGCTGTTGATTATGATAATGCTGATGCTGCTGCTGCTGATGATGATGATGATGATGATGATGATGATGATGATGGAGCTGATGATGATGCTGCTGAGGTTGATGCTGATGCTGATGTAAATGCTGATGATATGCTGATGTTGATGCTGATGCTGATGCTGATGCATATGCTGCTACTGACGCTGCTGATGATGACGATGATGATGCTGCTGCTGATGATGCTGATGCTGCTGCTGCTGATGATGATGATGATTATGATGATTATGCCTATGATTATGATGCTGATGCTGATGATGATGATGCTGATGATGCTGATGATGATGCTGATTCTGATGATGATGATGATGCTGATGATGATGATGATGATGATGATGATGATGATGATGATGATGATGATGATGATGATGATGCTGATGCTGATGCTGATGCTGATGCTGATGCTGATGCTGATAATGATGATGGCGGAGCAAATTCTGAGGATGTCTCGAGCGAGGCGCGGGTTTCAGCACCCCCAAGTTGGAGTCGCCCGGGGGTATCTCACTCCTCTGCTCGCGCCAAAATGGCGGGGATGTCTCGAGCGGGGTGCCTGTTTCGGTGCGCAACATCTTCCGCTTTCGGAGCAGATTCGGAGGGTGTCTCGAGCGAGGCGCTGGTTTTCGCATCCAAGGGGGGCCGCCGGGGGGTATTGCACTCTTCCGTCGGCGCCCAGATTGCGTGGATGTGTCGAGCGGTTTGCCATCTTTGCTGGCCAGACCCGCGGGCACGGATCCTCCTCAGGATACGCTCAGGATGCAACAGGAGGCTCCAGCAGGCTCCAGGAGGCCACAGGAGTTTCCAGGGGGCATCAGGATGCCACAAGAGGCCCCAGGAGGCCCCAGGAGGCCCCAGCAGGCACCAAGAGGCAGGATGCCCTAGGACGCACCAGGAGACCCCGGGAGGCTATGGGAGGCCACAGGAGGCCACAGGAAGGTCCAGGAGGCCGAGGCCCCAAGAGAGCCCAGGAGACCCCAGGAAACACCAGGAGGCCCCAGGAAGCCCCCGGAGGCCACAGGCGTGGCCCCAATCCCAGGTGTTTTAGTATGTTCCTATAGGCTGGGCCTCCCCTGGAGTACGAATCCTTGGTGTTTACGTATGTTTCGGTAGATTGTCCTTCTCCTGTGTATCCGTTCCTAAGTGTGTTACGTATGATCCTATAGATTAGGCCTCCCCTGGGGCACGAGTCCTTGGTGTTTCACGTGTGTTCCTACACATTGCCCCTCTCCTGTGGCTCCAAGCCGAAGTGTTTCACGTATGTTCCTATATATTGGGCCTCTCCTGGGGCACGAATCCTCCCCAGGATGCCCCAGAAGGCTCCAGGAGGCTCCTGGAGGCCCCAGGAGGCCAGACGAGCCCCCAGGAGGCCTTAGGAGGCTCCAGGAAGCCCCAAAGGGCCCCTATGAGGCCCCAGGAGGCTCCAGGAGGCCCCAGGAAGCACCAGGAAGCTTTAAGATGCCCCAAGAGGCCCCAGGCTCGCGCAGAGACGCACTGATATTATCGACATTCATTCACACTCACACTCATTCACAGCTAGATTCGCTCCCAGACCGTCAATACTCAAGCACGTTTAGATTCGAAAACTATTGCGCCGAGGCGCTCACGGCGGACAGGTCCATGCTAACATGTGCACATGTTGGGAGCTCCACGCAGCGAACGATTACTCTGACCGTGCCGAGAACGCCCACAGGAAATCCCTCACCTCTTCTTTGGCAGGTTATGCTGTGCTGTGTTATGCTATGTTTTGGGATTGTATGTCATATTATGACATACCATGATGTGGCATGTTCTGTTAGGCAGTGAGATGGTATGCTATGATATGTGGTTGCATGCCATGCTCGGGTATGCTGTTATATGATATGATATGCGACGCTATTTTGCGCTATGCTAGGCTATGTTATGTCATGCAATATTGTGGTATGATAAGTTCTGGTAGGATATGCCGTAGTCTGGTATGCTATGTTATGATGATGCTGCGGATGAGGCTTCTGCTGCTGCTGATGATGACGATGAAGACGATGATGATGATGCTGCTGCTGCTGCTGACGATGAGGATGATTCTGATGATGATGGTGATGGTGGTGATGATGGTGATGATGCTGCTGCTGATGATGCTGCTGAAGAAGAAAATGGTGGTGGTGGTAGTGATGGTGATGATGGCGGAGCAAGTTCTGAGGATGTTCTCGAGTGAGGCGCGGGTTTTAGCACCCCCAAGGGGGAGCCGCTAGGGGGTATCTCACTCCTCCGTTCGCGTCAAAATGGCGGGGATGTCTCGAGCGGTTCGCCTGTTTGCGCCCCTAACATCTTCCGTTTTCGAAGCAGATTTGAGAATGTCTCGAGCGAGGCGCTGGGTTTCGCACCCCAGGGAGGACAGACCTTGAGGATGTCTCGAGCGGTTTGCTTATTGCGCTGACCAGATTCGTGGGCACGGATCCTCCTCAGGACGCCACAGGAGGCTCCAGCAGATTCCAGGCGGCCCCAGGAAGCCCCAGGAGGTCCCAGGATGCACCAGGAGGCCACAGGAGGTCCCAGGAGCCCCCAGAAGGCCCCAGGAGGCCCCAGGAGGCCTCAGGAGGCTCCAAGGGGCTCTAGGATGCCCAGGAAAACACTAGGAGGCCCCAGCAGGCCACAGAAGGCCGCAGTGATATTTTTTTGTATTGGTATGCTACACATATATACAACTATGCATACATGTACATACATACACACGCATAGATATAGATCAAAACGACGCGAGCATGTCTTGGAGGGGGGATGGGGTGTGGGCTTTCAGAATCTAGGGCTCCCGAACGGGGTTCGAGTAGATGTGCTCGGAGGATAGCGCCGTATCGCCGACGCACCGGCGATGCGGCTCGATGCCGCGACCCACCTTCTGCACACCGACGGCGCCGATGCATCGCCCACGTCGCTGATGCATCGGCGATGCATCGGAGATGCTGCGCGATTCTCCGACTCCATCCAGGAGGAGGGGATTTTTTCATCAACAGTCACGCCAACAATTCGGATTTCATGTCTCAGAGAGTATCGCGAAATAGGTCCTGATCGTATGCCACTTAGTGGAACGAGCCCCACCTTCGAGCTCCGTATTAGAACACCTCTCATCACAACCAGACCTGGCCACATCACCAATCGGGGTCAATCGGGAACTTGTGGGAGGGACTCGTGACTCAAGCGGCGCACCACATCCAACAAAAGGAGCGAGGCATGCAATCGCAGAGAGAGAGAGAGAGAGAGAGAGAGAGAGAACGCGAGGAACTTAGGAGGCACTTGCAATCCTCAGTAGCTGGCTTCCATTTTTTCCAACGCTGTTGCTGGCTTCAATGTCTCGCTGAGACGTTGCCCCATCCCTGGTCGTCTCCCCACGGGCGTTGTAGCTATAATCGGCCTCTCCCCACTTCTCTCCTCTCCCTGTCATCCCTCTCCTCCGCTTCTTCCCTTCCCTCCCTACCCCTCAACCCCAACCCGATTCTCGTGCGGGTCACGCGCCCCCCCCCTGAAGCTTCACGCATGGCTCCTCGCTGCAGCCCGCCACGCCACGAGCGCGCGATTTCGCAATCAGCATTCGCAACCTGGAGCTCCAACACGGGGCACCGCTAGACGCGAAGACGAACCTTCCAGAAAATCTGGAGGAGAGGAGGAGGAGGAGGAGGAGGAGGAGGAGGAGGAGGAGGAGGAGGAGGAGGGCCAGAACATCCAGACCTTCTTGGCCCGCAGGCCCGCTGGCCCCGGCCCGCCCCGCCGGCCCGGGCCTCCCGCTTGTGCGTTCGTCGTTGCCTGCCTGCGTTTCCCTTCCCCTCCCCCGCCGTCGCCGACAGCACATGCCCGTCTGGGCACTGCGTGGAGGCGCCGATTTCTAGCCGCCGTTCGAGGCCGCGCGTGCCTCTCCGGCAGCCTCGGGGGGCCTCCTGGAGGCCACTGCGCGGTGTCTGTGCCGACGGGGTGCGCAGTTGGCAGGACCACCTTGGAGCATCCTGGAGCGTCATGAGCAGGAAGCACGTGCGAAACCAGACAGCGCACGGGGGGACGGACATCCGAGCGATGGCAAGGTGGGGAGTCGGGGGGTGGAGGGAGAAGGGGGACGACGGTGCTCCGGAGCGCTGGGCACAGGGCGAATCACCGCTCGATGATCTCCTCCGCGCTCTCCCCCCCATGTAACATCCCTACCTCGTGCGAAGCCGGCCCGCCCTTGACCTCCTGGTTGACGTCCGTCCCCGTACTCGAGGTTGTGCCGACGATCTTGCCGACGGTCAGGTGATCGCAAACATGGATTCAGGGGGCGTGGACTAGCGACGGGTCCCGTTTCCATGGGAAGTCGCGGATTGCCGCCGCCGAGCGAGGCGCCACGGGCCGCATTTTGAGGAGGGCACCCCCCCCGATCCATGGATTATGCGACCGCGCGCCAGATCCATGGACCGCTAATCCATGTTTGCGCGCCCCCGAGATGGGGGGGGCGTCTCAGAAGGGCCTCCTCCGCCCCCGGGAGGGCGCTCGAGAATGCGAAGCACGCCCCCCCACCGCTGCCCCATTCGTCCTCAAATTGTGAGGCTGCGCGCCGCGCTGGGGTCCTCGTCTTGGATCGCAGCGCCCCGCGTTCAATCCTTCCCTTCCTCCTCTTCCTCCTCCTTCCTCCCATCGCTGCCTCTGCCCTCATCATGTCGCGCCGACGGAGGACGGGTGGAGGTCGTTCATGGGCCCGCCCGGGAAAGCCCTAGAGAACTTCCTGTTCCAGGCCACCAAGAAGTGGGACCACGAGTGCCAGGTGTGCATGAAGCCGATGCAGCGGGGCGCGCAGGACCACGTCCAGAGCAAGAACCACTGGACGCTGCTATGGAAGGACCTGGAGGGCATGAGCCCAACGATGCCCACGCCCCCGAGGGAAGTTGCCGAGGACATGCTGACGCAACGGCCCTGGGTGCAGTCCTTCCACGTGCCAGGCCAGAGGGCGTCGAGGAGGAGGAGGAGGAGGAGGAGGAGGAGGAGGAGGAGGAGGAGGCATCTGCGCCTGTCTGTGCTTTACCGCTTACCTCCACCTCTTCTTCCTCCCCCCGATGGATGTAATGTTATGGATGTTATGTTGGTGCCTCCTCTCCTTTCTCTTACTCCATGCTGGGGTCGAGCACCACAGTTTTGTCCTACCTATCGTGTCTCATCTTTTCCCTACTGCGCCCCCACCTCCCCACAGGGCTTAGCCGTGGGAAGGTGGCAGGACAGGTTTGCAGGTACCAGGCACCACCCGATCTACCTCGAGTCAGTCAGTCAGGAGGAGGAAGAGGAGGAGGAGGAGGAGGAGGAGGAGGAGGAGGAGGAGGAGGAGGAGGAGGAGGAGGAGGAGGAGGAGGAGGAGGAGGAGGAGGAGGAGGAGGAGGAGGAGGAGGAGGAGGAGGAGGAGGAGGAGGAGGAGGAGGAGGAGGAGGAGGAGGAGGACGAGGAGGAGGAGGGAGGAGGAGGAGGAGGAGGAGGAGGAGGAGGAGGAGGAGGAGGAGGAGGAGGAGGAGGAGGAGGAGGAGCACGCGCCTGGCCCGGGTCCTGGTCTGGCCGATTTCGTGCCCGGGATCGGAGGGCACGCCTCCCGCCGGGAGTGCGCGCCCGCCACGCCTCGGCGCGGCAGGCCATGCGCCGCGCGGCGGCCGTGGGCGGTGTGGTGGCCACACCGAGCGGCGAGTCGGACGGGCGTCGGGGTCACCGCACGGCGTGGGGCGCGGGTCGTTCTCGGAGGACGTCTCGGGCGACTGGGGCCGCCGAGGTGCTTCCGTGGACTCTAGGCTCAAGGCTGGAGGGCGTGCGACAGCCCAGTTCGATTTCCCAAGGGTCGTTGAGCTGTCATTTTTGTTAATGCATTGATGCCGCGTGGCCACAGTAAAAGGAGGTTTGGGTTTCGGGTCGTTCTCGGAGGACGTCTCGGGCGACTGGGGCCGCCGAGGTCCCAAAGTCGTGCGTTGACGGGCCGCGCGCTGAGGTCGTTGGGGCCTTCGAGGTCGCCACGCGGTCCGTGACCACACGGATTTGGGGCCCCCAGGGTGAGGGGCTTGTGCTTAGCGTGTCGCGCCGACAGTCCCGACCCACCAAACTTCGGTGCAGCAGCGTTTGGCCGATCGCCTCACTGGTTCTCGGAAGCGCCCTGGGTGTTTCTTTTCAGTTTCCAATTTCCACGTCGTGTGAGTCAGCAAAGTGAGCCCGTAAAGACACGTTTCTGTATGCTCACTTGGAAGCCATTGAGCACCGATTCGAGGCAAGCTGGGAACGGTACGGAAACGCTCCAGGGGTAACTATGCAAACAACGGGATGGTAAACATTGGGGTTAACAGGAGAGTGTCGAACGGGCTGTGAAGCGGGCAGCAGCAGCAGCAGCAGCAGGCAGTACCTTTTCCTGCTTCTGGAAGGGGAATTGGTAACGTGTTGAAAACGCAGTGAAAACGCATTGAAAATGGTTTCAAACAAGCAACTTCGACCACTTGGCCCAGGGTAGGCGGAACCAGAGACGTTATCAATGACGCCGCTGCCGCAGCCGCTGCCGAAGCCAACGCCGTCGTTACGATACCGACTTCTGCCTAATTGCAGCTTGGTGCTTGCCAGCGCACGTCTAGACAATCAATACCAGATACAGAACAAAGCGTTGTGATGCAGATTTGGAAGTTACGAACATCGATGTTTGAATGTATAGTTTGTTCGAGTTCAGAAACCGTTGTTGCTGATTGACGCTGGCAACTACAAACGAACTCATTGTTACGGAGATCTGTAAACGACGGAACAACAGAGGTCGGGAGTTGTTGAGCAACGAGTTTATGAGGGAAATTTGGAAACTATAAAGAATCGCCCCAGACGGTCCGTATGAACACGAAACCAATCCCCATCACCATTGGTCGATGGAACCTCAGCCCCACCAGCCCACCCCAGGTGGGGACGGGTCCCGCGAAAGCCGACGGGAACAACATCTGCCCCCTATATTTGAGTGGGGCCTGTCTCTCTACAGGAGGACTATTCGAACGTATTAAAACCATAGTCTGGGGACGAATCTTTGACTATTTTGGGGTATTGTTTGCATTGTGTGTGTGTGTGTGTGTGTGTGTGTGTTATTTTTGATTTTTTTCGTCCAGAATCTCCCTGTAGGGGGACATGCCCGACCTACGAGTAAATGGGTCAGTGTGGGGCCAGGGCCATAGCAGTTGGGATGGGGATTGGTGAAACGGTGCTCGTGTCAGCACTCCGAATGTTTCCAGACCCTGCAGCACACCGCTACAAGACCTTCATGTTTTGATGGGGCCGCCTTCTTTCCCCGCCGTCTCGGGCGTCCGCCGCCTGCTCCGCCCTCCCGAGCTCCGTGCTCAATTAATTCTACGGCAGCAGCCCTACAGGAGGAGGAGGAGGAGGAGGAGGAGGAGGAGGAGGAGGAGGAGGAGGAGGAGGAGGAGGAGGAGACGCACTTCTTTTCGTTGCTCAGTTGGCGCCTCCCTGCCGAGGGGGCGTGTACCAGTTCAACCACCTCACTGGCGGGCAGCGGCTGCTCCGGAGCGTCGGGCTCGTCCAAGAGGGGGGGGGCTCGTCCATAGACCCCCTCTTGAAGAGGGGGTCCATGAAGCCTCCGAGGGTTTGACGGCTTTTCGCCAATCGACTTGCTGGGATCAAGCCGGACGAATTGAGCGAGGTGCATCCAGAACTCGAGGTCAACCCATATACATTTTAGGTCCATCCAGAGATTCCCAAGGAAGTCTTACGCAAATCATGGCTTTTCCAGCGCGAGTCGAGAGACAGCAGACGTCGTTAAGCCCTTACCTACGCTTTCTTCTCTCAAAACATTACCTGCCCTTCTCGTCCGCGCACGCGCCTCGGGCCATGGGAGTCTTGTGTGTCCTCGCAATTCTGTTTTGAGGGTGCACTAGCGTGGACCGAGGCATAAGATCGAGGTCGGTTCGGTGAGGGTACCCTACTGTTCTTCGTGCTTGTTGGATGTTTTTGTGCATCCTTGGGAGGGTACCCTTGGATGTTCTGTGTTTTTTTGGCCAGCGGAGGGTCTCGTGTTCTTGGAGGATGTTCTTCCGACCTAGGTCCGATTGTAGCATCCGCTAGCGTCAGGCCTCGAAGAGACACCGCCGATGCAGCGTCGATTTCGCGTCGATTAATGTCGACCAGCGTCTCTGAGCGTCGCTTCGAAAGAGCGAGCAAGATGACATTGGACCTAGACGGCAGGCGTCTCGATATTTTCGAGATACGGGCCCCCGACTTCTCGACCACCTACCCAGGACAGTTTGTTTGTCCCGCGAGTTGTTTTTTTGACGGCCTTGAGACCCCGTGCTGGCCCCAAGAGGCCGACAACAATGAAACACCTCCGTCTCGATTATTGATCGAGGCGCAGGATGTTTTGGGAGGAGGAGGAGGAGGAGGAGGAGGAGGAGGAGGAGGAGGAGGAGGATGAGGAATGGAAGAATGGAGGAGGGGACGAGGAGCAGGATGGAGGTTGCAAGAGGGGGAGGGGGAGGAGGAGGATGATGGAGGGGACCAGGAGGAGGATGTGGGATGTATGATGGAGGATGGAGGAGGAAGAGGGGAAGGAGAAGGAGGAGGAGGAGGAGGAGGAGGAGGAGGAGGAGGAGGAGGAGGAGGAGGGGTCGGAGGAGGAGGGACGGGGTGGATGGGGGAGGGGACCAGGAAGAAGAGGGTGAGGAGGATGGGGGAGGGGGAACAGCGCCCGAGGAGCGCCGGCGCGGCCTCCGCGGCCCCAGCGGCGCCTCCCTCGCCGAGCGTCCCCGCCGCGGCTTCGGCGGCTCCGGCATGGGCGCCCGCCGGGCCGCCGGCGGTGTTCTGCTCGGCGACTACAAAGGGTGAGGCGGAGGAGGAGAAGGAGGAGGAGGAGGAGGAGGAGGAGGAGACGGAGGAGGAGGAGGAGGGGGAGGAGGGAGGAGGAGGCGGAGGAGGAGGAGGGAGGAGGAGGCGGAGGCGGAGGCGGAGGCGAGGAGGCGAGGAGGAGGCGGAGGAGGAGGAGGAGGAGGAGGAGGGGGGGAGGGGGAGGCGGAGGAGGAGGAGGAGGAGGAGGAGGAGGAGGAGGAGGAGGAGGAGGAGGAGGAGGAGGAGGCGGATGAGGAGGAGGAGGAGGAGGAGGAGGAGGAGGGGAGGAGGAGGAGGAGGAGGAGGAGAGGGAGGAGGGAGGAGAGGGAGGGAGGGAGGGAGGAGGGAGGGAGGGACGGAGGGAGGGACGGGAGGGGAGGGAGGGGGAAGGGGGGGGAGGTGGAGTGGAGGTGGAGGTGGAGGAGGAGGAGGAGGAGGAGGATGAAGAGGAGGGTGAGGTTACGCCGAGGTGTGTTTTGCGATCGGCGCCGTTGGGGCCTGGGGGGCACGACGCCGTCCTCGTCGTGCCTCCTCTGGGCGCGGCGGGGAGCTCCGTCGGGGTTCCCGCCTGCCCCCCAGGGTGCCAGCTGCAAGCCACACCCTGAGCAAGCAACACCCTTCGGAGTCGCCGATCTGCGCCCCGTGCGAGAGCCTGGCGGTGGCAGCCCCGGCAGCGCCCCCACCCAGGACCTCGGGGTGTGTGTTCGAGGACCCCGAGGCCCTTGCGCTGTTTTTTTTTGTTTCATCACGGGCGTTTTCGTCCGGTTTCGGGCCCCGGGGCCCTCACAGATCGATGCGTTTCGAACAATGGCGCAGAAAGATGGGGTCTAGAGCACCAGTCGTGTTTCTTTCACAATGTTTATCTCGGAGGAGGTAGTTTCTCAGGCTATTGAAAAATTCAGCCCGCAGGTTTCTTGCCTTTTTCGGCCTCTGGGGGCCCTCGCGGGCCCCAGGAAAGTCAAAAACGGCTTGAGATGAAAAACCTGCCCAGGGAAAGCGTCGGGAATTCGGGGGACCGCGTATTGAAAAGATCAAGCTGTCTCGGATCTCTCGGTTTTTGAACCCTACGGCGCAACGGGGGGGTGGAGGAGATTCCAGACATCTGGCGTCTCGAGCCCAAATCAAGACGGCGTTTTTGTTATAGTCTTCTGTCCCTCAGGGCCCCTGCGAGGCCTCGGGACCGTCAGCATGGAAAACTGGTCCCGGGGAAGCGGGCGAGAGGTATGGCCCGTGTCTCGAAAAAACCGAGACTCCAGATGACGGGTAGTTTTAAGTCGGGCCTGTCCTTCTACTGGAGGAAAATTCAAAAGTAGTCAAGAAATAAGTCTGGGGACGATTTTTGGAGTCTTTCCGAGTATTTCTGAATCTTTGTGGACTATTGTTAGTTTGTTGTCCAAGATCTCCCTGTAGGGGGACATGCCCGACCTAAGACTGGGGTAGTTTCTTCACCCTCTGGCGCGTAACGGTCGTTACGGGGGCCGAACCGTTTCCCCCCCCCCCAGGGGTGACAGTAACGATGGCACGTGGGGAGTAGAGGGGGGGGGTGCGGACAACCTCGAGTCAGTGGGGGTTCGGGGTCACCGCACGATTGTTGGGCTCGGGTCGCTCTCCGAGGACGTCTCGGGCGACCAGGGCCTCCGAGGTCCCGAGTCCGTGAGAGGATGGACCGCGCAGTGAGGTCTCTTGGGAGTCCGAGGTCGCCATGCGGTCCATCTCCAATCGACCTGCGGGGATGAGGCCAGATAAGTCAAGGTCAATTTAGATGAGTCGGCGTAGATCCAGATACTGAACGTAGACAATTAACATGTACCCCCTCCCTCCCCGGGGGATCGCATTCCCATTGTGTTGGACAGACTTCTCGCATCTGCGGGGGCGAATCTTTTTCAAAGCCCACCCCCGTCAGATTTTTTTGGCGTCGCGTTTGCCGTCATCCCGTCAGTCGTCCGTCCGTCGTCGTCGTCGTCGTCGTCGTCGTCGTCGTCGTCGTCGTCGTCGTTGCGTCGTCCGTCGTCGCCCGAGGACTGCAGGACGCCCACGCAGCTCCCCCCCTAGAACTTCCACAGTCCGCCGTCGCCTTCGTTGTCGTCATCGCCCGTCGGTCTTCGTCCCCGCCCCGAACTGCCAAGACGCCCGCACCAGGGGGCAAGAGTGCCTTCGACAAGTCCGAGAAGCCACCTCCGCCGTTCCAATGTGAGTCAGTCGAATGACAGCATGCGTGTTTACTCGGGTATAGCCAGGACCGGGGTTTAAGGGGGGTCAGTTGGTGATATGGGCCCCGAAGCCAAACAGATGGATTGGAATTACTAAGCCAGGTCTGCCGTAGTTGGTGCTTTTCGGGTGACGGCAACTCCGGCTAGTGGAATGGGACGGGGTGGACGTCCCCGGTACAGATCACTAATTCGGGTGTTGCTAGAAGCACCCCTGGCCCAAGGTTCCCCCAGGATTTCCGGGGTGGCCCAGACGGCCTCCAGGGCACCCCTCACGAGGCCCAGAGGGCCCCAGGGTCTCCAAAGTGGAGCGAATAACTGGGGGCACCTTGGGCCAGGGGCACTTCTAGCAACACCCGAATAATAAACCAGGTCCACTTAAACCCGTCCTGCCATCGCCCGACTTACGCCCGTAGCGAGGGTTCCAGCGTCTTCGTCGGTCCCCGTTGGCTTTCCAACCTCGGGGGGCCTTCTGGCGGCCGTGGCCCTGCCAGCGGCGTGCCCTGGGGGCCCGGATCGTCTTGGACGGCCGGCGGGGCGGCGAGCTGCGGCTCGGAAAGCCAGGGGCCACCGCTCCGGGGGGATAAGCGACTCCAGTGCTGTCCGCCTCACAGCTTCTAGTTGGGTTTGATGGGATGGTTCGTGCCTTCGTCTGTGATCGCGAGCCGATCATCTCATCCTTGGTTGACGCGCGAATGTGTGCTTGCAGTGCGGGCAATAGCCGCAGCTTCTGGGAGACAACGTTTCGCTGCATCGACCCCGAATTCAAGCAGTGGCGAGGCGTCCTGGCTCGCTGATTGGCCCACCAAATATTGTTCCAATAACATTTTGTAGTCTACGCGAAATGCTCTTAAAACATTTCTGGCCGGGACTGACCTGTTTCAACAAATCGGGTTCATGTTGTAAGAGCATTGTTTTTTATATTAGGACATTTCTGGATTGTAAGAACATGTGGTAGGCCTTTCGGAATGCTGGGGCGGTCGGTCCTTGCTCAACCAGCCGCCCATGGCCCATTCATCGCCGATAAGGGTTCGATTCGATGGGCCATTCTGCCCTGGAGAATGCGGTTCTGCTCTGGGCCTGCCGCCGACCTATCCGCGATGTATTGCATATTGCAGTTTGACAGTTTCCCCTCAGAGCCAGCCCCCCCACCAAATGTTGCCCCTCAATCTTGCCTTGAAAGGAACCCAGATCTTGGAGGATGTGTTATTCTTTATTTGTTTGAATTCGGTTTCGGGTGTTTGTTACTGGGCCCCAGGACCATCACAAACAGTTTCGTGACGGGGAACTGCCTTTTTGGGAAGGGTGGTCCAGGGTGCAAGCCCCAGGGTGAAGGGACCCGTTCCATTCCAACTATGCCACAGGACCGTGGCGCCGCCGAGCTTGGCGGCGCGCACAAGGGGGTGGCCCCAGCAGCGTCGTCGTCGTCGTCGTCGTCGTCGTCGTCATCGTCGTCGTCGTCGTCGTCGTCGTCGTCGTCGCCACCGTCGTCGTCGTCGGTCGTCGTCGTCGTCGTCGTCGTCGTCGTCGTCGTCGTCGCCGTCGCCGCGCCCGTCGCCGTCGCCGTCGCCGCCGCCGTCGTCTTCGCCGCCGTTGTCGTCGTTGTCGTCGTCGTCTTCGTCGTCGTCGACGTCGCCGTCGCAGCCATCGTCGTCGCCGTAGTCGTTGGGGTGGGGGGGGGCGCGAGAGGGGCGGCCGGCTCCTGGGAGATCGAAGCCGCGGGGCGTGATTTGGAAGGGCCCGGGGGCTTCGAGAGGAAGCCTCCGAGAAGACGGGGGGCGTTCACTCAGTGAGCATTTTCTTCCCCTCCCCAGGGCAACCGCTGCTCCGAGTTTCTTAATAAGCGTCTGGGGGGCGTCACCCCCGCCGACAGCCCCACATCGACCCCCGTCGCGGGTAGCCACCGCACGCCGAAGGCGCTCCGACCCCCGTCGCGGCGCGACGACGAGGCGAGGTTGACCCCCGTCGGGGTGGTATCCCCCCACGCTTCTCCAGAAATCCATAGTAGTTGCCCAGGCTAACCTCCCTCCCCCCCTTGGTAGCGCTAGCGAGCGTACTGGGGGTGTGTGGCCTGGACACCCCCCCTCCCCTAGATGCGGTGGTGCGCGCAGGCGATTGATGCGCCGGTGGCGCGGACGCACCCTGGCGGGTGCACGCCGCGGCCGCCGTTGCCCTCCCGCCCGACCCCCCCCGGGTAACGACCGTTACGCGGGAAAGAAGAACTTGTCACCAAGAGTCTCGTCGCCTTCTTGAGGGCGCCCCGCCTTCGAGGCCGCCCCCCCTCGCGCCACCCCCTTGCAGGGGGTGCATTTCGATCCGATCGGTGCGATTCGATGTCGGTTCTGGCCGGCGGGATTCTCATACAGTGGGCCATGCCAAGGAACGCCCTGCTTGCCTCCAGGGTGCCCTGGGTTTCGTTGGTTTTGCGATGGAAAGCGTGACGTTCCCACACCAGAAGCCGATAGACTTCCTGGGGTCTCAGGGTTGGGCATTTTGTGGAAGGTTCCTTCTGGTTGGGCCCCCACTGCATTCCTACGTTCCGATGCGGCCCGATGCTTGGCGCTGTTCGATCTCGAGTCCGTGCCGGTGCGGTCTGGTTCGATGCGCGTTTCGATGCGATCCGAGTTGCTGGTTCGGTGCTGACCGAGCCCGCCCTTGTGCGTGCCACCACCGAGCGCCGCAGCCTTTCGGGACGCGCGCATCGTGGACCCCCGCACGCCGGTGCTCCGCGGAGGACTCCTGTGCATCACGGGGCCTGGCCAGGAGCCATTCTGCGCCCCTGGGGGTGGCGTGCAGGTTAGAGCTGGCTCAGCATCAGAGGCAACGTTCGGGGGGGATAGGCTCAGGGGGGGCGACGCATCGTCCCGCAACCGCCCATTCATCGCCCAGATGGGCGCGATAGCCCACCCCGCCCAAGATCGCGCGGGTTCGCCATTGTGGGCCCATCGCCCAGCTATCGGCGATGTATCGCCGATTCCAGATCGATGTTCCCGCGCCTGTGCCAGTCCCCCCCCGCCGTTGCCCTTTTCAGCACCTGGTTACGGCCAGCAGACCAGGGGAGGAAAGGGGACCCCTCCTCGACGCGGCTGGGCGCGACTCGAAAAGCTGGTCAGTTCTGACCCCAGAATTTGGAGCGATCTTGCATTCGTCCTCCCTCTTGACTGATTTTCTCGGGGCGCAGCCGGCGCAGCCCCCCGGCCGCTTCCCAGGAGGAGGAGGAGGAGGAGGAGGAGGAGGAGGAGGAGGAGGAGGAGGAGGAGGAGGAGGTGGCAAGGAGGAGAGGATAGGAGAGGAAGGAAAAGGAAACAGGAGGAGGATGGGGAAATGCCAGGGCGACGGGAGAATGTGGGGTGGTTGTGAGCGGCCCCTAGCGGCTTCTCGGAGCCTCGGCGCGCCCCGCCAGCGCCTCAGGTTCGTCCCCCGCTCTCCACGGAGGGGGGGCCCCGCGCCGGTCATCCAAGAGCTCGTCGCGGCGGAGAGGTATGTGCTCACGCCTCGACAGAGGGGATCGACTGCCCCAGGAAGGTTGATTTACCCCAGAGTTTTCGATTTTTCGCGTCGAGTCAGAGTTTAGAGAATGTTGTTGGCCTGCGAACCTGTCACGAATGATGTATCATGGATTCGACGAAAGGCCAATTTGGGGTTAAAACTAATTATGGTAGTGTGTCCCTACTCGAATTGCCGGTTGTTTCCCCTCTTCCATCTTCGAAGGGAAGCAGACGCCAGGGGCCCAGGATGGACATGAGGCGCGGGCGGGTGGGTGTGGCAGGAGCCTTGCGTGCACAGGTGCGCAACCAGCCTTGTCCTACAAAGACGGCCGGTGGAGCCAAGGCCAACTGGAGCGTTTTCATGGCCGGGCCCGCGGAAGCAGCTGGAGCGGAGATGCTCTCTGGAGCTGCTGCCAACACAGCGGTGCCATGCAGCGTTGCGACGGCCAACGTCCACGGCGTTATAAAGGGCACACATCCATGTCCCAGAGGCACTACAAGGCGATGCACAGCGCTTCGCGTGAACGCGTCTGGACGGGCTCTCTCTCTCGCCGATCTTTCTGCTGCTACTGCTGCCTGCTGCTCCTCCTCCTCATCTCCTCTCCTCCTCCTCCTCCTCCTCCTCCCTCTAACCCTCCCTCCTCCCTCCTCCTCCTCCTCCTTCTCCTCCTCTTCCTCTTCATTCATCCTCCCCGCCTTCCTCCTTCTCCTGCTCCTCTCCCTGATTCTCCCCCTCTTCCCCCTCCCCGTCTTGTCGAGGGTCGTCTCGGGGCAGTTTTGCGGCGTTTCGGGGTGGCTCTCAAGTCTTCTCAGGCCATGTTGGTATCCTCTGGGGAATCTTGGGTCCCTTCTGCTCCCTCCTGTGCCATCTTGGTGCCCTCCTGGGCTCCCGTGTTCTTCCCATGCTTGCCCGGGAACGCAAATTGCCCCATCTCTCAGTCGGTGGGGATTCGGGGTCACCGCGCGGTTTTGGGACTTGGGTCCGTCGCCGAGGACGTCTCGGGCGACTTGGGCCTCCGAGGTCCCAAAACTGTGCGCTGACGGACGTGTGGTGAGGTCTCGGGGGATTCCGTGGTCACCTCTCGGTCACCGTTCGGTCTGTTTCGGGACACCCAATTCCCTCCTTCTCTCCCCCATCACGAAAGTCGCCCCTCCCCTCCGGGGTCTAGCATCTCTGGCGCCAGTACCCGAAGGGTCGGCGACTATGCCAAAACATGTCCGCCGGCACACCAGACGTAGAGGAGGCCATCCGGTGGGACCGGCCGTGGGTGCAGAGGTTCGAGCTCGGCGGCGGGAACGCCTACCTCTTCAACCACATCACCGGGAGCCACGGGCGGGAGCCCAAGGACGAGGGCGGCTGCCAGAGCTTTAATCAAACGCTGGAGCCGCTGCACGCGTCGCGCGTCCCCGCCGGTGCTCGGGGCAAGAGCTGTTCAGCTGTCCCTCGACTCGCACGGGAGGTTTTGGGCGATCTGTCCAAGCCGGCCTGGGTATCTCTTGGTTGCTCTCAATGTGTGACGGAAGGCGCGCTCAGTGTGCGATCCGTTCGTCGGAAGGAGATGGAACTAGGTGGAGTTTGAGAGAGGTTTGGCATGTGTATTCCCAGGGAACCAACGGCCAAACTAGCGATTTAGCTCGGGTCATCATCTTCAAACAGCTGAGATGTCTTGGGATCGCTCTTGGAAGGCCTCAAGACGGCTCAACATAACTAGCCCAAAAAGCTGACTCCAAGACGCCATACGTCCGTCCAAAAGATGACGATTTCGCTAAGGACATCCTCACATACATGAGATGTTTTCGACATCGTTCTTTCCCACAATGGCGATTTGGCTCGAGACATCCTCACACACATCAGATACCGTCGACGACGTCTTGGTCTCGGTCTTGGCCAACATCGTGATTACGCTATGGGGATCCTCACACACGTTAAATGTTGTCGACATCACTCTTGCCCACACTGGCGATGTCGCGAAGGATATCCTCGCTCATTTGAGGTGTGGTCCACATCGTCTTTACTCCGCTCTTGCTCATACTTGCGATTTCGCTAGAGACATCCTCGGACAACAAGTGAGATGTCGTCGCTGTCGTTTTGGAATCGCTCCATAGGGCCCGCGAAGCTGGCCCGGTGGGTTAACACGGCCAGGCGGGTTGAAACGGCCAGGCGACCTCAAACCGCCAGGTGGGTTGAAATGGCCAGGCGGGTTCAAACTGCCAGGCGAGCTAAAGGGCCAGGCTGGTTCCAACAGACAGGCGGCTCCGGTTCCAACGGCCAGGTGGGTTAACGGCCAGGCGGGCTACAACGGCCAGGCGGGTTACAACGGCCGAGGATGTCCGCGCGGCCAGGCGGTTGAAGCGACCAGGCGGGTCAAAAAACGGCCAGCGGATTAATGCGGACAAGCGGGTTCAAACGACCAAGCATGTCACAACGGTTGTGCGGGTGAAAGCGGCTAGGCGGGTTCAAATTGCCAGGCCGGTTAAAACGTCCTTGCGGGCTAAAATGGCCAGGCGGGTCCAATTGTCAGGCGAGTTAAACGGCTGGGCGAGTTACAGTTGCCAAGCGATTTCAAACGGCCAGGCGTGTCAAAACGCCAAGTAAAACGGCCAGGCAGGCTAGACAGGCCAGGCAGCTAGAACAATCAGGCAGGTTAAATCGACCAAGGATGTCAGCGCGGCCAGGCGGGTTAAAATGGCCATGCCGATAAAGACAGTCACGTGGTCGTAATGGTCATGCGGTTTGAAGCAGATCTTCGGGTCAAGACGGCCAGGCGGGTTCAAAGACCCAGGCGGGTTGAAAAGGTCACGCGGGTTTAAATGGCCAGGCGGGTTAAAACGGCAGCGCTGGGGACATGCTGAAACAATTGATCACTCTCCAACTTTGCATGTTTAAACTAATGTTTCTGCATCTTCTTACAATCTCTCTTGACGGGTCTACGGACCGCTCAAGAGTGCCCGGAGACAGCCCGAGAGTTTACTAAGACGGGCCAAGATTGCCTCTAGACTCCCCAAGGATACGACAAGGGCGAGGAAACGAGAGGACGTAAGAGGAGATCAAACGGGACAAGCCGGCGATCTCGCGCCATCACCGAGTAAGTTGTGTTGTCGGTCCCCGTACCAAGTAGGTAATTGAAAGAGCGAGGTACGAGTGATTATGTTCTGGTGGGGCGAAACCATCTAGGGAGGGGTTCCAGGGAAGGGGCGATGCGGGCGTGTCGGGCCAAGAACAGCCCAGGACGGCCCAAGAAGCCGCAAGGATCGTCCCAAGACGGCCCCAGCGGCCCAAGAGAGCCCCAAGACGGCCCAGGAGGGCACCAAGACTGGCCAAGAGGGCCCCAAATCGCAAAATGGCCCAAGAGGGACCCAAAACTGCCTCCGTAGCCATTTTGTCTCAAGACATTGCGGCTCGAGCGGCTCTGTTGCTTTGCGGCCGTCGCGTGACCTCCTGAGTTATGGTCGAGTGCAAGGACGCCAGACTTCTCGATGGCATGTCGCCGGTGCAAGAAATATGGAATGCAGTCACGATGGCATGTCCCACATTTGTTGCCATGTGGTTCTTGTGGTCGCCTCCTTCTCCTGACTTCGTGGGCTGGCGCCCAATTGTGATGGCATTGGGACTTATATTGCACCTGCCATTCAGCTGTGCATACCATCTGCTCCTAGCTCGCCGCGAACTTCACGACGCGGTTGATAATGTGCCACGGAGACTCGATCAATCTTTCATCCACGTGGCTGCCATTTTTATTGTCAACGGCACGAGTTCTTCTTTCATATATGCTGGCGTCGCGTCATTGCTGAACCTGTATTTTTTGTGCCGCCTTTGGCCTCTCGGAGGCGACGCTGGGTGGATTGAGCGCATGGTGAACGTTGGAGTCGGAGTGCTGTCGTATGGCCTCCCTGGGCTTTTCCAGCAGGAGTACCGACTGTTTCTCGTCGGAGTCGCGTACTTCATTGGGGGTGCGGCGGCGATGATTCTGCGCTTGGGAGGCTGGGGCCACGGGATCATGCACATTTGCCTCGGAGGACTGGCGTACCAGGTGTTCAGTTTCGTTGGCAAGCTCAACGACACATGATCGTGGCATCGGCCTTCAACGCTGGCCCCTCGACGTGCTCCCTATTTTTGCGGCGCGTGGATTTCGTACGACTCCGTGTTCGTCGCCGATGTGTGTGTCTTTCCTGGATACCGGGTGGTGTATGGAGCAGCAGCCAGGCTTGATTTCTCACCGCTCCTTTTTACGGGCTGTTGATCTGCCCCGCCTGGGCCTCGGCAGGTCGCGGCGCCCCTCGTTCGTCGGGGGATACGGCGTCCGAGACAGCGCGCCTGCGATAGGACAAACAAAAGAGGGCCCCAATACTGCCCCAAGTGAGCCCCAAGATGGCCCGAAGAGGCTCCCACGAGGGCCCGAAGAGGCCCACAAGAGAGCCCCAAGATGGCCAACGGCCTCCAAGACGCTCCGAGACGGCCCAACAGGGGCCCCCAACCAGCCCAAGAGGGTCCCAAGATTGCCCCAAGGGGCATGGAAATGACCCTGAGACGGCCAAACGCACTGACTCGCATAATGTTTTTGCATGTTTTGTGGTTTTCGCTTTGTCGGGCCTCCGACGGCCCAGGACAGCTCAAGAGGCTCCCACTGTCTTCCCAAGATGGCCCGAGAGGTCCCCAAGAGGGCCCCGAGGCGCCTCAGGAGGGCCCCCAGACAGCCCCAGAGCGCCCAAAAAGGGACAGCCCAAGAGGGCGCCTAGAGTCTCCCAAATGAGGCTCCCAAGAGGGCCCCAAGAGGCCCCAAGGAAAGCTCCCGGACGGCTGAAGGCCTCCAAGACTGCCCAAGAGGGCTCCGAGACGCCTCAAGAGGCCTCCAAGAGGCTTCCCCCAAAGGCCACCAAAAGGCAACAATCATTGATTTTTCCATGGTTTTGATAGTTCCTCACGTGTTTCGTGGGGTTCTGGTTTTCTTCCCTGCCGCGGCGCACCCGCGTCTCCTCCTCCCCTCTCTCTCCTTCTTACACAGCGCAGCACAGCACAGCACAGCACAGCACAGCACAGCACAGCACAGCACAGCACAGCACAGCACAGCACAGCACAGCACAGCACAGCACAGCACAGCACAGCACAGCACATGCACAGCAGCGTATGGGGTGCGTAGGGGCTGGTCTCTCACGGCGGCCGCTATCCGTGACGGTCGTCCAGGGCACAGCAGGCATGGCATATTCTCGACACCATAGGGGGTGCGCAAGGAGTGGTCTCTCACCGCGGCCGCTATCCGTGACAGTCGTCCAGGGCACAGCAGGCATGGCATATTCTCGACACCATAGGGGGTGCGCAGGGGGTGGTCTCTCACCCGCGGCCGCTAAACCGTGACAGTCGTCCAGGACACAGCAGGGCATGGCATATTCTCGACACCATAGGGGGTGCGCAAGGGGTGGTCTCTCACCGCGGCCGCTATCCGTGACGGTCGCCCAGGCACAGCAGGCATGGCATATTCTCGACACCATAGGGGGTGCGCAGGGGGTGGTCTCTCACCGCGGCCGCTATCCATGACAGTCGTCCAGGGCACAGCAGGCATGGCATATTCTCGACACCATAGGGGGTGCGCAGGGGGTGGTCTCTCACCGCGGCCGCTATCCGTGACGGTCGTCCAGGGCACAGCAGGCATGGCATAATCTCGACAGCGTAGGGGGTGCGCAAGGGGTGGTCTCTTACCGCGGCCGCTATCCGTGACGGTCGTCCAGGGCACAGCAGGCATGGCATATTCTCGACACCGTAGGGGGTGCGCAGGGGGTGGTCTCTCACCGCGGCCGCTATCCGTGACAGTCGTCCAGGGCACAGCAGGCATGGCATATTCTCGACAGCGTAGGGGGTGCGCAAGGGGTGGTCTCTCACCGCGGCCGCTATCCGTGACGGTCGTCCAGGGCACAGCAGGCATGGCATATTCTCGACAGCGTAGGGGGTGCGCAAGGGGTGGTCTCTTACCGCGGCCGCTATCCGTGACGGTCGTCCAGGGCACAGCAGGCATGGCATATTCTCGACCCCATAGGGGGTGCGCAGGGGGTGGTCTCTCACCGCGGCCGCTATCCGTGACGGTCGTCCAGGGCACAGCAGGCATGGCATATTCTCGACACCATAAGGGGGTGCTCAGGGGGTGGTCTCTCACCGCGGCCGCTATCCGTGACAGTCGTCCAGGGCACAGCAGGCATGGCATATTCTCGACACCATAGGGGGTGCGCAGGGGGTGGTCTGTTACCGCGGCCGCTATCCGTGACGGTCGTCCAGGGCACAGCAGGCATGGCATATTCTCGACACCATAGGGGGTGCGCAGGGGTGGTCTCTCACCGCGGCCGCTATCCGAGACGGTCGTCAAGGGCACAGCAGGCATGGGCAATCCTCGACACCAATAGGGGTGCGCAGGGGTGGTCTCCTCACCACGGCCGCTACCTTGTCCGGTCAGTTGGCACAGTCAGGCATGGCATAACCAGGGTTGGCTCGACACCATAGAGGTGTGGGCGCAGGGGGTGGTCTCTCACCGCGGCCGCTATCCGTGACGGTCGTCCAGGGCACAGCAGGCATGGCATATTCTCGACAGCATAGGGGGTGCGCAGGGGGTGGTCTCTCACCGCGGCCGCTATCCGTGACGGTCGACCAGGGCACAGCAGGCATGGCATATTTTCGACACCATAGGGGGTGCGCAAGGGGTGGTCTCTCACCGCGGCCGCTATCCGTGACGGTCGTCCAGGGCACAGCATGCATGGCATATTCTCGACACCATAGGGGGTGCGCAGGGGGTGGTCTCTCACCGCGGCCGCTATCCGTGACGGTCGTCCAGGGCACAGCAGGCATGGCATATTCTCGACACCGTAGGGGGTGCGCAAGGGTAGGTCTCTCAGCTCGGCCGCTATGCGCCTCAGTCGCCCAGCACATCAGGTTCCAGCTCGCCATATTCACGACACCAGATGGGGGTGCCAGGGGTGGGTCTCTTCCGCGCCGCTATCCGTTACAGTCGTCAGTCCATGGTCGACAGCAGGCCGGGACCATTCCTCGACACCATATGGGGTGCACAAGGGTTTCTCTCACCGCGGCCGCTATCCGTGACGGTCGTCCATGGACAGCATGCATGCATATTTCCTCGACAGCGTAAGGTGGTAGCGCAGGGGTGGTTCTCTACGCGGGCCGCTATCCGTGACGTCGTCCAGGTCACAAGCCGCAGGCGTAGTCTCGACACCATAGGGTGCGCAGGGGGTGGTCCCTGACCGCGGCCGCCTATCCGTGCCGGTCGTCCAGGGCACAGCAGGCATGGCATATTCTCGACACCATAGGGGGTGCGCAGGGGGTGGTCTCTCACCGCGGCCGCTATCCGTGCCGGTCGTCCAGGGCACAGCAGGCATGGCATATTCTCGACACCAGAAGGGGTGCGCAGGGGGTGGTCTCTCACCGCGGCCGCTATCCGTGCCGGTCGTCCAGGGCACAGCAGGCATGGCATATTCTCGACACCATAGGGGGTGCGCAAGGGGTGGTCTCTCACCGCGGCCGCTATCCGTGCCGGTCGTCCAGGGCGCAGCAGGCATGGCATATTCTCGACACCATAAGGGGGTGCGCAGGGGGTGGTCTCTCACCGCGGCCGCTATCCGTGACGGTCGTCCAGGGCACAGCGGTATCGGCGGGGCAACGGCCACCAACATCATTCTCACATGCTTCACTTCAGCTCTCATCACTCCAGCCATAATATAAGTATGTGGGGTTCCTCGGTGGCGTAATTCGTTTTTCCCTCGGCGATGACCATCGAGGAGCATCCTGGATCATCGTGCAAAGCAACACGCGCGAGACAGGAACATGCACGGGGAATGGACGTCCGAGCGATGGCAAGATAGGCCCTTCTTGTGGGTGGCACGAGATGCCCTTACAACACTTCTGCTTGAAACAGCCTTGTTTGATCTACGGGGGTTCTGTTGAGAACAGTGCTGTTTTTTATCAGAACATTGTTCGTTCCAAGAACATGCCGCGGTAGGCCCATGAGACTGCTGGGACGGCCAGTGCCTGCCCAGACGAGGCACGGCTGCTGGACAGCATCCCGTGGCGAGAAGATCGTCGGCCGAGGCGGGAGCTCGAAGGGCAAACCCTGCATACGCACAAACCGTCGACGGTGCGCGCGGATTTCTCGGTTCGGCGCTGGATCCCCCAGGGGCGGCGCCTCTGGCGCCGCCCCTGGCGCGCTCCGCACGGCCGGAGAGGGGGGTCCACAAGCGCATCCGAGACGTTGCTTGATGTCTTTGTGAGTGCGGGAGCGTGTCGGCTCGCTCGCCACTGGGCGCGCACCCGTCGCCGCTCCCTCGCCCTCTTCTTGGCCTTCGAACGTCTCTCTGTACGTTTCTCTCTCTCTCTCTCTCTCGACCTCTCGATCACTCTCTCTCTCTCTCTCCCTCTCCATAGTCTCGGCTCGAGAGTGCCCTGCACTCAGACCGCAGCCGCGACGCGAAGCGCCCCGCCTCGGAGCCAGTCTCCCAGGCCTCGCGAGACCGGAGGGGTCCCAGCAGGACCCTACTGATTCGCGTCACCTCTCTCCCCACCAGAGCGCCCGCCGCAATGGCCCCCGGCAAGCCGGAGCGCCGTCGCTCTTCCAAGCAGCCGCCGAGCTCACGTCCTGCAGCTGAAGGATCCCTCCTCCAACGCAAACAGGACTGCATTGCAGCCTTCAAGCAAGCGGGGTCTGACCGCCCCACAGCCGCATACAACGGGCTCGCCGAGCTGAACGCGGACGAGCTGCAGGCCACGTACGACATGCACAAGACCAACGCCAAGAAGCTCGGCAGTGCCTTGATTCGCATGTGTGCCGCAAACCAGATCAGCTACACGCTGGATCACCACCAGCGCAGCAAGCCTAAGCGCAATGGCGGTGACACATCCTATCCACCAGCTGCGTCCGCACGTCTTCAGGCTGCGGACGCCAAATTTATTGCCTTGGACCCGGCCTTCTGGAAGGTCCCAGTCCTGGCCGAACCCACATCACTCGACGACGGCAAGACGTACAAGCCCAGCATCAGCCTCCACGACTACGAGAGTGTCGAGCGGCTGCTGCAGCACCATCTCGAGCAGGGTAAGCGTACCACGGGTCAGCTCGCGATCGCTGTCATGGGCCCAAAAAACGACAACTACGTCGGCACCGAGCTCGCCGTCCCCGTGCTGAAGCGCCACCCCAAGGCGCCCAATGTGTTTCACACGCACGTCCCCGTGACCGTGTACCAGCTGGGCACCAAGGAAGTCGCCTGCACGGAAAAAGTAGCCGTCGCCACCATTGATCCTGCCGACCACGTATGCTGGATTCGGGTCACCATACATGAAACCGAAGCCAT